TCTTCAAGTACGGCCCCTTCGAGGACAGCTCTGACAGAACTATGGCTTGCCCAAGGTCATCTAGCAGGTGCAAGTGGAGGAGTGTGGAATCAAACCCGGTTCTCCCAGATTAGAGTCCACGCACTTAACCACGACACCAAACATGGATTCTCTAAAGTGCAGTATGCAATGAGGCGATTCTCATAACAGAAGGAACTGTGGATTCTCTGAGGTGAAGTATGCAATGAGAAGGGCGCGACTCATGGGTAAAGGAGCCATGGATTCTCCGCAGTGAAGCAGGCAGTGAGAAGGGCTATTATTCTAAGAGGAGGAAACAGATTCTCTAGATTCAGAGGGTAGACATGTCAGTCCACAGTAGAACAGCTAGATTCGAGTCCTGTAGCACCTTAGAGACCAAAAAGATTTTGGGAGGAGTAAGGTTTCAAGAGTCACAGCTCCCTTCATCAGACTTGACAAAGGGAGCTTTGAATCTCGAAAGCTTATCCTCCCCAAAATCTTGTTGGTCTGTAGGATTCTCTAGAGTGAAGGCTGCAATGAGGCTCTTCTCCCAAGAGAGGTAACTATGGATTCTCTAAGGTGAAGTAGGCAGTGAGGAGGGCTCGTCTCATGGGGAAAGGAGCCATGGATTCTCTGCAGTGAAGCACACAATGAGAAGGGCTGTTTCTCCTAAGAGGAGGAGGAGGAGGAGCAGCCATGGATTCTCTAACCTGAAGTATGCAATGAAAAAGCGTCTTACAGGAAAGTGAACCACGGATTCTCTGGAGCGGAATAAGCCATGAGAATAAGCAAGAGTGTACAGTTCCCGCTGCCACCCACCCCTCTGATCTGGTTCCCTGCCCTCAGCTCTTACCCCAGGCCGCGTGCTTGGCATAGTCGCAGTACTCTGCTCCTGAGGGAAGCGGGTAGAAGTAATAGGCACAGCCGCAACGTTCCACCATGATGTTCTGGAAGCAGGATTGCACGCACGCCTAGAAGGAAAGGCAGGGAGCAAACAAAAGAGGCCACGTCCTCTCTCCCCATCAGCACCCCCCCTTCAGGGAGTGGGAACCTGGGCCACCAAGTGGGGGGACTGGGGGGGGGACAAAATCCGGGGAGGGCCGGTATAATGTATCCAGTCCAGACAAGTCCAGAGACAAACGTCGAGCTTCGCTCCAAGAGACAATGGACTATGCGGATCCTAGCCCGCTCCAATCAGGGGGCTAGGTTCCCGGCCGAGAGCCTATGGGACTCTCGGCCACTGTAAATAACCTATAGGGAAGTAAGGGGCGTGTTTTGGGTGGCGGTTTCCCGGGGATATAAGCCGGCCTGCGAGCCGGCAGAAGTCGTCTTGTTCCGGATAGAACAAAGTACGCTTTGCTGAAATCACTCTCCGTCTGTGTACTTTCCACTGGCTGGAGAGCCCCTGGAGCCAGTGTCCTGCTGTATTAATGGCATGCATTAAAAAAAAAAAATTCTAATGCGGTTCTGACTGCAGCTCCTGGGGGTGCGGGGAAGGCGGAGTACACCGAGAAGTAGCTCAGTTCAACTCAAATAACCATTTCCCTTCTCCGTCCAACCCCACAGCTACGTTTTGGAGCTTCAGCGTTTCCTGTTTTTTTTAAAAAAAAAAATACTGAAAACAATTGAAAAAGTATTCATTTTCAAAAAACAATAGGCAGGAGATGGTGTGAAGGATGGCTGAACCTGTGTCCCCCTCCCCTCCGCCACTTCCTTTTTTTACCTGTTCAGTGTATTTGGAGGTGTACAAGTTTCTGACGGGCACGTCACTCCCATTCCATGAGCAGCGACCATAGGCACCCCCGAGGTGTTCCAGCACCTTCTAATAACACAAGCAAAGGGTCTGGTGTGTGTCTGAGACAACTGCTCACTCAAGCCACAGAATTTTGTCTGGCCAGCAGCTATGCGAGGCTGGTAACTATACCTCCTGGAGGTCGTTAATCCATGGGGTCACCATAAGTCAGAAGTGACTTGACAGCACTTAACACACACACACACACCAACAAAACAACAACACACAACACACCAACTACACAACAGCAGCAGCAGCAGCAACACACCAACAACAACACATCACCACCAACAACAACAGCAACAACACATCAACAACAGCAGCAGCAACACACCAACAGCAACACACAACCAACAACACACCACCACAATGCACACACAACACCAACAGCAGCAGCAACACACACCAACAGCAGCAGCAACAACCAACACACCCAACAACAACAACAACTGTGCTCAGCTCCAAAAATTCTCTCTCCCTCTCCTCTCCTCTGGATGGACCCTCTCCCCCTAACACCTCTGTGACAATTTAGCTCATCGGAGCCGTCTCTTTGGCAGGTGCCCGCCTGCAAAAGGGCAAAATCAACAGCTGCCTGTACAGGGGCCTTCTCTGTGGTGGCCCCCGCCTCAGGGAACGGCCTGCCTGAGAAGGTCAGGAAGACTCCCACTCTCCTGGCTTTCTGCACACCATTTTCAAGAGGGCTTTTCTACTCAAGCAATCGACTCGCACTGTACTAAATGATTCATAAGGGTACTTGGATACATTATTAGAGACTGTGGTCTACATGGCTGTGTCTGGCTCACTGACACTCGGATCCCACTACGGAACGTTGCATCATTTAATGCGTCCTTTGAATACTTAAGCTTTGCTTCAGTTCCGTTTTGAGATTTACTGGTTGGTTCTACAGCCCTAATCTTATTGCATTGTTCATCAAATGTCGATTGTCTTGACTCAGTCTGTGTAATCGGCCTTGAGTCCAAGTGTAAATAATGTAAATAAATAACACAAAAAATAAGCCTTTGGCTATGGGCTGATGCTTCCTTTTCAGCGCTTCCGCGCGCTTCCTTGATGTGGTCCGAGCACTCTCACTAAGCCACTGACCTTTCTCACAGTGATGGACGTTTGCATGCCGGGGCGCACATCGAAGCCTCCTTCCCCCATGAAGGCAGGTTCGTTCTGGTCGTGCACCATCACCCGAGCACCGGACCCCGTAGAGAGCAGTGGTATCGAGTCATTTTGCTCAGTGCGCAGCAACAGGGAGAGGCCTGCGGGTGGGACAGAACGAGGTGAGGGCAGTCGTGAGAAGAGAGTCGAAGCGAGAAACGGGATGAGGGCTTCTGCTAAACCTCACAGAACGCTGGTGCTGGACTTCAGGAAAGCCAGTCATCCTAGGATGGTTGGGGTTGCCAGTGCTGGGTCAGGAAATCCCTGGAGATTTGGGAGGGGTGAAGTCTGGGGAGGGGAGGGTTTGGAGAAGGGAGGATTCCCCAGCAGGTACAGTGCCACAGAGTCCACCTCCAAAGCAGCCTTTCCTTCAGGGGAACTGATCTCTGTCATCTCACCGTGCTGGTGTGAGCAACCAAGCCTTGTCCTAGCTCATCATCTACCCAGCGATTCGAAAGCTTCGGCGAGTAGATAAATTGGGGACCACCCGTAAGGGGGTGGGCACACCCCTCCCTTCGGGAAGGTGTTAGCTGCCAAGGCAACTTCTGAGGCGCGTCGACCGGAAAGACGAAAGAACTGTCGGCTTCCCTGCAGTGAGGCGAGTTGGCCAGGCGGTGGCAGTGTGTGGCTGCACAACATCAAGAAGCCAGGCGTCATCAGCCAGCCGACAAGAGGCCGTAGGAACATGACTGACCCAGCCCGCAGATGAAGCCCGGCTAGCTGCAATGTGTGTGTAATTAATGCTGTATGTTTGTCTTCCCTATCCCCACAAATATTGTTAGTCCAACTGTCTCAAGAGTAACTAAGGAACTGCAAGACAAAGATACCAAGTTTAAATTTTGACTTAGTTTAAAATAACAAGCGTGATAACTTGCAAGAAGCAAGGGTAGTATTGTGAAATGTGCATGAAGGGGTTATTTACACATTTATGCAATGGTTCTATATTGTAAGTTGATATGTTACCATTTCGAAAATTGTTGTTGAACTATTGTTCCCTTCCAGGAGACCTCCAGGCTGCACCTGGACGTTGGCAACCTTAGGTTTCATAGAGGTCATTTGGGGTCAAAGCTGGCAGAGAGAAGGGACAGCACAAGGAAAGCAAAGGTGAATGTACCCAAATGGAAGTCAGTGAGACCGGAAAGGAAAGGCTGGCCCCAAAAGGAATGACTCTTTATTTTTCGCCAATATATACCACCTTTGGAGGGAAGGTGGCATGGTACAGCGTGATCTTGTCAAATCTCGGAAGCTAAGCGAGGTTGGTGTTTGGAAGGGAGACCACCAAGGGCGATTCTGCAGAGGAAGGCAATGGCCAGCCACCTCTGCTTAATTAGTTGCCTCGAAAGCCCCTTGCTGGGGTTGCCATACATTAGTTAATGGCTTGATGGCAATTATGGCCTGTCCCACTTTACCCTGTAAGAAGTTCACAGAGGAGAATTTGCAGGGGGGGGGAGATCCCATTTTATTCTTGCAACAAGCTTGTGACATAGGCTGAGCAAGAATAATAGGCACCAGGAAGGCTTGTGGTTGTGGGGTGGATTCGAACCCAGGTCTCCCCTACTCCAAGTCAAGCACACTATCCAGAAAGAACGTGAACAAAAGACCCACCAGAGCATGAACAAATGACCCACCAATGGACCAAAAATGGTGGGAATGTATACCAAAGCAATCGTAAGAGACAGGGCTCTGGTCTCCTGATATAAGGTATGGAGAGGAGGAGGAGGAGAAGTTGTTTTTTATACCCCACCTTTCACTACCTGGAGAAGTCTCGAAGCAACTTACAATTGCCTTTCCTTCCTCTCCCCACAACAGACACCCCGGTGAGGTAGGTGGGGCTGGGAGAGCTCTGAGAGAACTGTGATGAGCCCAAGGTCACCCAGCTGGCTTCAGGTGGCAGAGTGGGGACTCAAACCTGGTTCTCCACCGCTCTTAACCACTATACCACACTGGATACGCACCATGTTGGATTCCAGGCATGGAAGATGTCCATCGTGTGCTTCCAGTCTTGTCGTTGAGCGTGTAGCAATTCCCGTAAGTAGGATGACGAAAATGGGTGAAATTGCTAGGGGGGAAAAGAGATGTGAACGTTACTATTGGAGGCAGACAGCAGTATAGTATGTATACATACAGTTATCCCAGGACACAGGCACTGAGGACAGGTTTGCTGAAGGTTCCTCAGCATCTCAGGGGAATCAGAATCTTTAGATCAGCCTTTCTGAGCCTGCGGGCACTTTTGGAATTCAGACAATTTAATAAATTTTAAAAACCATAATAGTAATCCTCACAACAACCCTATAAGGTCGGTCAGTATTATCACACAGTCCTCACATTGCCGGGGGGGGTCAGCGGATTGAGAAACTGTGGTTTGCTTGAGGCTAGTCAGTTCGTGGCTAAGACAAGATCTGAACTAGCAAGCTCCCCAATCACAGTTTATTCCCTGAAGATAGATCCAGGTGGTCAGCCATGTTGGTCTGAAGCAGTAGAACAAATTCAGAGTTCAGTGGCACCTTTAAGACCTGAAGCATACATACACACGAGACCACCTTCAGATTGATAGTTTACCAGGGCCCACTATTGCCTGCTCTGACTGGCAGCAGCTCACCAGCTCCTGCCTGTTCCTTTTTCACTGGAGATGCCAGGGA